GAAACCAATGCAAAACCCCTACCCCAATGTAACACATGTCCTGGTTTCCATACAGAGGTTAGTATATCTTTGAAGTATACCGGCTGATTTAGTTCAGTAGTTTTCTCGGTAGTCCAGTGTCTTTCTGCAGCTGTTTGTCCTTTTTCATTGGCATTAAGAAAGTTTAGTGTTAATAAAGCATTATGCAACCTATGTTTGGGGGGGTTTAGTCTTCTAATCTTGTTTGTTGAGCATCTCCTTAAGTGTTCTATTAGATCTCTCAACCAATGCTTGTCCTGTAAGACTGTGTGGTATACCGGTAACATGCTTTATATGTTATAATATTTGAAAAATTGTTCCAATTTTGTAGAGACATATGCTGGAGCATTGTCAGTTTTTATTTGTGCAGGGTGAAAGACATCCATCTGCCAAACCTCATTTCTCCGAATGCCCTTAGGACTACAACCTGGTGGCAATGGAGTTTGATTATAAAAGGAACAAGTAGGACAGTTTCTATCTCCTTGGCTTGTTGCCAAGTGATAGAGAAGTCCTTTTTCAAACCTTTGCTATTTACATGATGTTTCTTATGAAATTCTGAGGCTTCTAGCACACTTCCAATTAATAAAGATCAATCTCATCATTGCCTTGTGCTAGTGGGCCAGGCAGACCCGAAAGGGATCTGATATGTGTAATATATATAGGATTACTTCTATTTCTGATAGTTTCCTGTAATTGTAAAAACAATGAGGTTAATTCTGTATTATCAGGAACGAATTCTGCAGTCTCAATGTGTAACATGACTCTCTGTGCATATTGGGAATCAGTAACTAACTATATTAAGAGGTTCTGTAAAATCCATAAGCACCATGAGAATTGCATGTAATTCTGCCTTCTGTTCATATGTATATAGACTTTGAACTACTTTACTTACCTCACCTGCTTTATAACCTGCCTTACCTGATTTGTTGGCATCAGTGTAGAAGGTAAGAACTCCAGAAATGAGAATTTGTCTTACAATATGTGGAAGAATCCAGACTGTCTTTTTTTTTTAAATATATGAGCCTGTAGGCCTATTTTTTTTAAAGATTTATTTATTATTATTATATATACAGTGTTTTGTCCGCATGTTTCCCTGCAGGCCAGAAGAGGGCACCAGATCTCATTATAGATGGTTGTGAGCCACCATGTGGTTGCTGGGAATTGAACTCAGGTCCTCAGGAAGAAAAGCCAGTGCTCTTAACCACTGAGCCATCTCTCCAGCCCCAGACTGTCTTTTTTATGAATTTAATTCTGTCAGTTTTGGGATAGTTGTTGCTAATTGTTCCCAAAAAGTCAGTAAGAGCTATTTGCAAATATTCATTATCCTTCTACAAAGAGGAAATTTCCTCATTAGTTAAAGGTATTTTAATTTCTGCTGGATCTTTTCCAGTCAGTTGACGAAGTCTTAATTTTCCCTTTAAAATCAAATCAGAAATATTTTCTACTTGGGCGCCGTTAGGCCGCAGTCTGAGCTGGTCCCAAGCGCACGGTGGTAAAACCGTAGGTCTGTGTGATCTCCAAGCTGGTCAGACAGTTCTGAGCAGCTCAGCCACAGCGGGTTGGCTGGGAGCCAGGAGCACCTATGGAGAGAGGGAGCTTTCCCGGCCAAGGCTGAGGCCGAGGCCTGGTGGAACCCACAGCCTGTCCCAAATGGGGTGTAGGTTTCCAATATCCCGCTCCTGACAACCAGAGATAGTGGGAAATTACCAATGCGGAGTCAGGGAGAAATAGAAGAGTATTTAATAGGGAAAAGCCTTACTTACAGAGCAACCTAGCCAGCCAGCGTGGCAGCAGTCTGTCCAGCAAGTACAAAAGTGAAACCGAAAGAGAAACACAGTGCCCTGAAAGTCTCACTCTATGTCACCCTGACCACACCCTTGCAAGCGTGGTCAGGCACACCTGTAGCCAGCCACTAAGTAGGCGTGGCTACAGCTTCCCCTACACATGAGTAGTAACATTCTCTCACCATAGGCCTCTGGTTCATTCCCCCCACCCCCATTGAGACAGTTTTACTATGTAACCCAGGCTAGTTATCTGCTTGCCTCTGCCTCCCCCAGTGTGTCATGATGCCTGGACAAATGTCACTTTTTTTTTTTCGAGACAGGGTTTCTCTGTGTAGCTTTGGAAGCTGTCCTGGCACTCGCTCTGGAGACCAGGCTGGCCTCGAACTCACAGAGATCCGCCTGCCTCTGCCTCCCGAGTGCTGGATTAAAGGAGTGCGCCACCAACACCCGGTGACAAATGTCACTTTTGAACCTAGCATTACAAGGGATTTTATTCCCAGTGTCAACAGACCTCAAGGAAACAAATGGACATAAATGAAAACTCTGGAGTTCAAGATTCAACTGGAATGCAGTGTGGCACTTAATGTTGCAATGAGCCATTTTCAGCCACCTGGGGTAGTGTTTCTTCTCAAAGTAGGTAGGACAGGGTAGAGATGGATGTGCTGACCTCTGGGTCATTTTCAGGTCCCTATGGGACTAGGATGGGAACAAAGCCCACAGAGGATTCCAGGCAGCATCCAATGCACCTTCTGCACACTCCTTTAGATGGCTCATTACATACTATGACCCCAGTTCACAAGGGGTCAGGCACTGGCACAGTGCACACACATACACAAGGACCCAAGTCTGAGCCCTTGGAACCCCTTAACTGTCACACCTAAGTCACTGCAGTGGCAGGTCTAGAGCCTGGCCTGCTGTGAACTCCCCACTCAGAGAGGGGGGATATTTCTACTCTTTTTCAGAAAAGACAGGCCCAGCTGCTGAAGCCTCAGACTGACTAGAAGCCAGGCTGACTTGGGGACAGACAAGAATGTTCCCTTGAGTAACAACCTTCCGGAGGCTGACAGGCCCAGACCCGAGAAAAAGCTATTTAATGAAAACACACCACAGATTGCTGGTTGGATAAATTATGAAATTTATTTAAGTTCACCTTTTAAAAGCCAGAACATAACCACCAAACTTTCTGGAAAGCTGTTACATTAGAAATAGTGGATGTGATGCAGGATAAGAGGTTCCTGTTGTACAGCTGTGTCCTTCTCAGTCCCTCCCGATATCTCCTGAGCAAACCTTTCCAGAGGGTTCTGTGAAGTGGAAAGGGACCCTGCCCGACTCTGCTGCATCTGAGCTAGCTTTTCCCTAGCAGGCAGAAGCCACAGTAGAAGTACGGCGTCAAAAGCACAATATCGCATGCAGTCTCAGCTGGACCAGAGCCACACGACAGGAAGGACAACTTACTCCCAAAGCCCTAGGTCTGTCAGGGCGTCTGTTCTGCAGATTGGCTGGCTGCCTGGTGGTGCCCAACTGTACTTTGTAAAATGTACTGGACTAGCAGTTTTTAGAGCTGCTGCTCGAGAAAGCCTCCAGCAGAACACCTTTCTTAACTTTGGCAGGGGCCTAACTTTAACTTCCCAACAGGGGCTTTGAAGAGACAAGTGGGTATGACCCTGGCTTTGCACCAAAAGGCAGGGTTTTAAAACATACACTTGGGCACAGAGGTCTGTATGACAGCAATAATGCTCAGGTTGGTTATCGAGCAGCAGGTTCAACAGTCAGTGCCTCCATCACCCAAGGGCTCTTTCATTCTTCAGAGCAAGAGTATCAGCAGATACACAACAGAGGGGCACATGACCCAGCCACCTGGGAACACTCAGTGTGAAAGAGAACCAAAACCCACACACCACTTTCTCCCCACTTACAGACGAGTGTACCCCAGCTTTGCTATCCGACACTTCCATTCTATTTCTATGGTGATACCTTATCCTAAAAAGGCACTGTCAGGCATTTAAGACAGAAGCCATCAGTTCTATGGATGTGCAGGAGATGTAGGGAAACAGCAGAAACCAAAACAGGATCAGTTTTTGAAACCCCAAGGTCATCATCCAGGAAGAAAAGGGGAGCGCAGCCTGGCCTGGTATACAGCAGAACCCAGAACCCAGGTACCTCAGGGCCAGGGAAAGGAGTCCCTGTTTAATTGTGCTATTCATGGCCCCGGGGAAGGGGCTGGCTGAGTAGGAGGACCTAAGAGACGAACACTGGACAGTAGGATGAACATGAAACAAGAACACGTGGGAACAGAAGCTGGACTCTTCTTTTTAAAGGAGGCAGTAGCTAAGGTGTGACGAGAGCGGACCATGGGACAAACAAGGTTATCAGCCAGGAAGACAATGTCAACAAGAGCCCAAAGGAAACAGGGCTCTGCCCTAGGCCCTGGGAGAAGTGACCCTGTCTGGTGCCATGGCTCATTTACAGATCTGCATTACATGTGAGGTACAGGAGTCAAGGGCTCACACCTAATGCGTAATGGAAGCTCTAGAATGAGGTGGACAGTGAGGACCCTGCTCACTGGTCGATGATGGATCGTTGCAACACCTGGTTTATCATGTCATCTTCATCAACATCATAGTCCTGAGGGCAGAAGACACCAGCCTAAGTGACGGTTCACACCCAGAAGATTCACCTTCAGCAGGAGCCTAGCAAGACTGTCTGGAGAAGGCTGCTAAGGGCCCCAGGTCACTGTTTAGATGCTGTGTAACTGGGAAAATTACTTCAGCTTAGTGTCTCTGTTGTATCATCATTAAATAAAAATTAATAGCTTGGGGCTGGAGAGACAGCTTGGTGGTTAAGAGCACTGATTGCTTTTCCAGAGGACACAGGTTCAATTTCCATCACCCATGATGGATCACAACCACCATTAATTCCAGTCCCAGAGGATAGGACACTTTCTGGCTTCTGCAGGCAGTGCACAAATGTGGTATACACAGATACATTCAGGCAAACATGCATAAAATAAATATAAAAAATTAAAGTTATTCCTGGGGCTACAGAGATGACTCAATTGGTAAAATGCCTGCGAGGTCAAGCACAAGAACCCTAGTTCAGATTTCCATCACCCATGTTGAGGTGCGCACTTGTAATCCCAGTACTCTACAATGGAGACAGGAATCACCTAACAGTCTAGCCCAAGTGAGACCCACCCACCATGAACAGACACTGTGCAGCTTCCCTCTGGGACCAGAGTTCTTCAAGCCCAGGCTGCCCTCACCCCCAGAAAATTGAGCATCAGTGCTACCCCTCTGGGGCGGGTCCAGACTCACCACAAAAGTGTCATAGGAAAAGCGGTGGCGGCGTTGGATATGCTCCATGAAGTTGGCGCTGCGGTAGCTGGGGTCACCCCAGGGCATCGAGGCACATATGGGACAAACCTGTTAGGAGGAAGCAAGGTGCTGTGACCTGATGCCTCGGCTAAGCCAAGCCCTCTGTGACCTATGCTCAGCCCCTTTATGCTAGGACAGCTTTACTGACAAGCCCAGGTACAAGGCCTGGTCACTTGTCTCCATAAACATGAAGCAAACCAGAAAATGCTATTTAATTCAAATGACAGGCTCATAAAATGATGGATGACTTATTCCCAACAAAGTAAAATTCAGAGAACAAAGTAAAGGCCCAAATAACAGGGATATGGCCTAAAGTGTGCACATGAAAAGCCAATCTGAGCAGGCACAGAGTACATGCCTGTAACCTCAGCACCAATGAGGCCCAGGAAGGAGGGTCAGGGAGTTCAAGGCCAGTCTGGGCTACAGGAGTGCTTTGCTCTGGCTCAGGTGAGAGTGCAGCAGCACTGGGACCCTGTTTGCAGCACAGCAGCTCCAATTCTCCCTTGAATCCCCGCTGTTTGATGAACTCAACAGACAGCAGCTGTCCTCACCTGCAGACCAGCCCAGCTTCTTCCTCATTCTAGGAGGTAAACACAGCTTCTTTAAACTCAAAAAGCCCAAGTTTGCTTCCTTGAATCCATGACACCAACTATATTTCAGGTCTCCAAGTTCACATACCCCTGCCGCCTTAACTAGGCCGTGATCACCTACTTCCAGGTGTTTCAGAGGTCACCTTTCACTTTGGAACCTGAAAGATCATCCTTAGCTGGAGCTGGCCTCCCCTTCTTGAGCTAAATGCAGACCCCTGGGTAGATGCTGGAATTGTCAAGTCTGGAGCCATTAGCTGTGAGCCTAGCTAGATAAGGAGGCAGAACCTGCTCTTTCACTTCCTTCTGACTGGCTATGAACAGAGCAACCGATCCTGAATAGGCCTGGGAGCTTGGATCACCAGTTCTGACAGCACCACACGTATCTTGACAGCTTCTGAGCTGGTGACACAGCTTAATGGTCAAGCACTTGCCTATAACAGGTAAGGCCGGAGGTTCAAAAACCAGCACAAAAAATAAAAACAAAATATTCAGAGCTGGGCATGGTGGCTCAGGCCTGCAATTCTGGCACTCGGAAGGTGAAACAGGATTAGAAATTAAAAGTCACCCCTGGCTACATCATGAGTTTGAGGCCAGCATAACCTACTAGAGACTCTTTGTTGTTATTGTCATTTATTTATTTATTTATTTGTTTGTTTGTTTTTCGAGACAAGGTTTCTCTGTGTAGCTTTGGCGCCTGTCCTGGCACTCACTCTGTAGACCAGGCTGGCCTCGAATTCACAAAGATCCACCTGCCTTTGCCTCCCAAGTGTTGGGATTAAAGGCATGAGCCACCACTGCCTGGCTGTTTAAGTGATTTTGTATGTTTGTTTAAGTGATTTTTTTAAAAGAAAATGTTAAGATATATGTTGAAGAAGTTAAAGAGGGGAAAAGGTCATAGTATCTGTAATTTCTTCCTAAATGGCTTATCAAAATCATGTCTTTCTGTCTGGGCAGTGGTGGCACACACCTTTAATCCCAGCGCTTGGGATACAGAAGCAGGTGGATTTCGGGGCCAGCCTGGTCTACAGAGTGAGTTCAAGGACAGTCAGGACTGTTACAAAATGCCCTCCCCCCAAAAAAACTAATACATATATAGAACACAGTTAAGCAAATTGGCAAAATGCTGTTAGGTAAAGGGTTAAGATGTCACTATATAGTTTGGTAATTTTTTGTATGTCTGACTTTTTACCTAGTCAAAGAAAAGGTAATTCGCCAGGTGTTGGTAGCGCATGCCTTTAGACCCAGCACTCGGGAGGCAGAGGCAGGCGGATCTCTGTGAGTTCGAGACCAGCCCGGTCTACAAGAGCTAGTTCCTGGACAGGCTCCAAAGCCACAGAGAAACCCTGTCTCGAAAACAAAACAAAAAAATCCAAAAACAGACAAACAAAAAAAAAAGGTAATTCTCACCACAGACTTGGTATCCATGCTGTGTGATAATTTGCAGTGCTCCACGAGTCCTTCCTGATCAAAGTTCTTCTCAGGACAGTAAGGACAAGGAAAGGTGTACCGGTTTGGGACGTTTCTGGGAGGTGAGATACAGGAGAGCACCCTGAGAACCATTTCACACCATCTCAACCACTGCATGCTCCAAAGAACCAAGACCCCTGTGCATCAGAATCGAGTGCTTTAGCATAGCTAACACGTGAAGACATCCCCCACCCCAGAACCTCTCAACCTTACCCAGTGCTCAGGGACCACATCTCTCCAATTCCCCAAATCCACACGCCTAGACCCTCCAGCAACACAAGCATCCCACATCTTTCTGGGGAAGACTAGATCATTACCTTGGCTGAAGGGATGCATCCTTGGTGGTGGCCTTCACACCTTCCATGATGTAATTCTGGTATTTGGGACATGAAGCCACATGGGCTCGGATCTTAGATAGGACGTACTTGGATAGAAAGAGTGGGACCAAGAGTTAGTAAGGAACTATTAAGAGGTGATCCCAAACCAGGGGCAGAAGGACTGGACCACACCCTGGGTTGACAATCCCGGAACTCCTGACTATACCAGTGGGCAGAAACCAGGCTGCGGCGGCTCTTCACCATGCCAGGACGGCTATTTTTCACTTGCCTATATCTGTTTCCCCTGTGAGGTCACTCTCACTGTCTACCCTGTTTACCAACATTTTCCAAATCCAGTGATGTTTTAAAAGTATTCCACAGTCTGTTTTGTGCATGTGTGTGATATCTTTGTGGAGGCCACACAAGGTGCTAGTCCTCACTTTTCTACGTTGTCGGAGATAAGGACTTTCACTACTACATAAGCCAAGCTGGGCATCATCCCACAAGCTTCTGCAGATTCTCCTGTGGAATTTCAGAGGATTCTGCTATTGTATCTGTCTGAACTCAGGTCTCAGGTGTCAGGATTAGGCAGCAAACACTATTAACTGCAAAGTTATCTCACTGGCCCTACACTTACATTTGAATTTGTCTCCTACTCAAGCATGGTGGCACACATCTGTGACCTCCAAGGACTCTGGGAGGGTAAGGCAGGAGGACTACCAAGAGTTCCAGGCTAGCTTAACCCACACAGAGACTGAGCAGTACTTTGGTCTGCCTCCAGCTGTATTTTTGTTGTTTTGCAACAGGGTCTTGCATTTATTACCCAAGTTGGCCTGAAGAAATCCTTCTCTCGCCCTTCCCAGGAGAGAATACAGACACATGCTAACACACTTGTTTGAGAGCTCTTAAAGAATTATACAGAATAAAGGAGAGAGAGATTTGGGGGGCATATCTACCGTACAACCATCAATTTTTATTTTGCTTTGTGACAGGGTCTTATATAGCCCAGGCTGGCCTTGAACTTGTGACCCCCTCTCTCCATCTTCCCAGTGCTGACATTATAAGCATGTGCCAATAACACACAGGTTTACTACATTGCAAATGGGGGAAATTAAAGCACACAGGGAAGAAAAGTGTGCATGAAAAAAGACAAAGATGGAGGCCAGTTTGTTGAGATTCAAAATAAAACTATAAAGAGACAGGGTTCTAATCTCAGAGCTGTAGGCATCAGCCAGAACACATCGACTCAGCTGGCAACCTAGGAGCTGGAGTTGGTCCAGAGCACTCAGACTCAACAGTCCACTGAGAAGCCTGAAAATAAATGTTGTAATGGGCTTGTATAGACACTGTAAGAGTCTCACAGTGCATCCAATACTAAACCCCTCTGGAAATACGGAGGGGAAAAGATACATCCATTCGACGGTCATCTACACTGCAATGCTCAAAGTTCAGAGTTCAAGGTTATTCCTAGACAAAATGAGTCTGAGACCAGTTGAGGGTGCAAGAGACCCTGGGTAAAAGAACAAAGAGCTATAGAGATGGTTCAATGGTTAAGGCCTCCGGCTGCTCTTTCAGAGGACCCAGGTTCAATTCCCAGCACCCACATGGCAGCTCATAACTGTCATAGCTCCAGTTTCAGGGGATCTGGTACCTTCATACAGACATAAATGGAGGCAGAACACCAATATACATAGAAGTAAATAAATCTTAAGTAAATAAAAGGGAGGAGAGAAAGAAGCTTGCTAGGCATGACTGCTCACATTTGTAATCTCAACACTTCAGAGATGGAGGCAGAAGATCAGTTTAAGGCCAACCTTTTTTTAACGAAAGAAAAAAAAAAAATCCAACCAACCACCCACCAACCTGGGCATGGTGGTATAAGTATTTAATCCCAGCACTCTGGAGGCAAAGGCAGGTGGGTCTTCACTGAGTCTCAGGTCAGCCTCATCTACATATAGAGCTTGAGGACAATCAGAACTACACAGAGAAACCTTGTCTCAAAAGAACAAAAGCAAAACTCCCAACAAACCAAACAAGCCAGCCAGTGGTAGCATTGAGACTGTGGAAATAAAGAGATAATGAGACTCAGCTGGCTGTGGTAACTCATGCCTATTAATGCTGCAGCTCTTGAGAGGCAGAGGCAGATGGAACTCTGAGTTCAAGTTCAGTCTGGTCTACATAGCAAGGTCTGAGCTAGCCAGATGATGAGACCTTGTCTAAAAAAGCAAAACAAAGATGACGAAGTACAAAGCTATCTAAGAAGTAAAACAAAAATTTCAAATATAAAGTTGAAAGAGGGCTGGAGAGATAGCTCAGAGGTTAAGAGCTCTGGCTGCTCTTCCAGAGGTCCTGAGTTCAATTCCCAGCAACCAAATGGTGCCTCACAACCATCTGTAATGAGATCTGGTGCCATCTTCTGGTGTGCAGGCATACGTGGAGGCAGGATGATGTATATATAAAAAATCTTAAAAAAAAAAAAAAAAAAGAAAGAAAGAATTTAAGTAGCAGGGGTGTGTGCCCTCACTGTGTTTGTACACATTTACACCTAAAGGTATAAAGTGCTGAACAGCTTTTTAAATGCAAAACTATCCTTTGGCCTCAGCCTGGGTGCCAGGGTCACCAGTGTGCAATACCATACAGCCAACTGATCCACCTTTCAAAGAGGGATTGATGGAGGAACAAACAGTGGTGTTTTATTTATTTTTTTTACTGTCTGGAATATAAAACTGTAATGACTTAAAATCAATAAGGAAGATAAAGTACCAGTTATCTGTGCTCCCAGCAGCAGTGAGCTGTGCAAGCAAGCACACCACAGGCACGGGCACAGCCCACTGGTAGGTAGACACTACTAGTGCACTCTCCACCTCACACCCCTAACTCAGGGTCTTTCAAGGCTTAAAACAGAACCAGTGAATTTATGAGTCCAGAGACAGGTTACGAAAGCTTTCCTTTGAGCTCAGTGCAGATTTTTCTTTTCTTGTTTTGAAACAGTCATGTATACTAGGTTGGCCCTGAATTTTGGATCTTCCCGTTACCACACAGAGTGCTGGGATAGAAACCAGGGCTTTTTGCATGCTAGGCAAGCACTCTACTGAACTACACCCCTAGCCTCAGGTGTTTTGAGACACTAACTTCATTTTATATACATTTTTAAAAATCATGAAATACCCTTATATTCTAATTAAAATAGAAAGCACACGAGAGTTAACACTTTGAGGTAGGTCTTCGGTAACCTAGGATGTTTCAGGACTCCTAGCTTTGCTGCCTCTGTCCCCAAGTGCTTAGAGTAGAGGTATGTACCACTCCCCAACTGAAGATGGGTCTTTTATGGGGGTGGAAGCTTATTTCTATGGATTTCAAAGGTAAAATCTATAAATCACTAAACCAACTCATGAAAAAAACAAACAAGCAAACAAAAAACCCCAGCAAGCTTGTGGAAAAAATAAAACCCCAGCAGCACAGCCACCACAAACAGCAGGCATGCACTTGTGCTCTTATCACTACTCCAGGCTCTAACTTCAGACACTTGCACTGTTTTACCATCTCATCACTGAAAGACAAGGACTCTCCATGTTATGTCCACATACATTCTTACGGCAGCCATGGCAAGAAGTCTCTGTGCTCTCGATCTGTCGCTCGAGCTCCACAGCTCGGACGCCAGGTGCCAGAGCGCTGCGACACACCCCACAGACAGGTTTCTTCGGCTTCAGACATTCCTGCAGGCATGCAGAGCAAAAGCTAGAACAAGACATACAGAGAACCTCTGTCATGCAAAGAGACAAGACAACAAAAGTGGGTCACCTCTTTAAAAGACACCAATGAATAATGGATTTGAACAGTCTAGTGTTCCTACTCTTACTCAAATAAAATACTAATCGCTTTCAGGACAGAAGAAAACTGTAGCTGGCACTGGGGACACTATGGAGAACACACACACACTCAAACACTCCACTATGTGGAGAAAGGCATGCTTGGGCCTTCAAAGCTTAGTTCCTGTCACTAGGGAGTCTTGGTGGGGTTTCCTGACCCGGTTTTCTTCTGTGTGAAAGGAAGATGTCATACCCACCTGGAGGACTGCTGGAGAATGGGCCATGAATAGCAAACACTTAACTGGGTATCCAGCATGTGTCAAACAGGAAGTAGAATTCAGAGGTGAAAGCAAAGCATGGGAACACACACAGTGGAGCTAATTACAACCCAAGTACAGGGCTGGTCAGACCTCAGAAGCAGCCTCTGGGTCGGCCTTAAAAGATCACAACTGGGGGCTAGAGAGTGGTTAAGAGCAGTGGCTGCTCTTCCAGAGGATCTGGGTTCTATTCCCAGCACCCACATGGCAGCCCACCCCTGTCTGTAACTCCAGTTCCAGGGGATCTGGTATCCTTACACCAATGCACATAAAGTTAAATATTTTTTAAAAATTGTTTTCAGTCTATGCTTGGTGAAAAAAAAAAAAAAAACAAAAAACAGGAAAAAAAGAAAAAAATTTTTTTCAGTCCCGGAACTCAGGAGGAAGAGGCAGGAGGCTCTTTCTGAGTTTGAAGTTAACCTGGTTCATATAGCAAGTTCCAGGACAGTCAGAGCTACACAGAGGAACCCTGTCTCGAAGAACAAAGCAAACAAATACCAACCCCAAATTCAAAAGTGTCAAGGGAACTTTACTCACAGTCAGGTAAGTTAAACATCAAAGAGAGAAGATATATGGGAGGGAGGGAGGCTCAGGCTGACAATTCTCTAAGGAAACCAAATTCTAGAAAGTGTTTCTTGGCAGGTGGTGGTAGGGCACACCTTTAATCCCAGCACTTGGGTGGCAAAAGTTCTCAAAAGCATGTCAAAGGTTTTTTTTTTTTTTTTTTGGGGGGGGGGTTGAGACAAGATTTCTCAGTGCAGCCTTAGCTCTCCTGGAACTCACTCTGTAGACCAGGCTGGCCTCAAACTAAGAGATCTGCCTGCCTCTGCCTCCTGAGTGCTGGGATTAAAGGAGTGTGCCACCACTGCCTGGCTAGATCAAAGATTTAAAGCAAGATACTAACATCAAATCCAAGTTTCAGGAAATTGGTTCTGGTGAACTGCAGACAACAGCACTCTTTTTAGTTTTGGAACAGGGTTTCTCTGTGTAGCCCTGGCTGTCCTGGAACTTGCTATATGAACCAGGTTAACTTCAAACTCAGAAAGAGCCTCCTGCTTCTGCCCTCTGTTCTCCAGCCTGCTGGCCTTGAACTCATAAAGTTCCACCTGCCTCTGCCTCCCAAGTGCTGGGATTAAAGGCGTGTGCTACCACCACCCTGCAACAGCATACTTTTTAAATATGAAGAATGAGGGGGCAGACAGTGCAAACCCAACAAGTGACTTTTGGCAAGCACTGTGTGCCAGATGCATACCATGATCCAGAGGCAGAGGCAGCACCTGCTGGCTCACTGAACTGAAAGACAAAGATGAAGAGCAGGTGGTGCTGCTGAGGAGAGGCACAAGAAAGAATGGCTATGGAGGCCCAGGGTACTACACCACTGACCCACTCTGACAGATTTTATCTTACATCAACGAGACCTGGTAGAAGAGCTGAGAGTATGTAGTTATCATTTCTGTTAGGCAAAATTCTAGTCCAGGCTGGGGAGTCCTAGTCATTTACTTGAGGGAAGAGTGGAGACACAACAAGTCTCTGTCCTTATGAACACACACACAGGTTTTTGTTGTCTTTTTTTTTTTTTTTTTTTTTTTTTTGAGACAGGATTTCTCTGTGTAGCAGCCTTTGCTGTCCTAGAACTCTATTTATAGACCAGATTGGCTTTGAGCTCCCAGAGATCCACCTGCCTCTGCTGGGATTAAAGGTGTGGATCACAATGCTGTATTTTTAAATTGAAGGAAACACAGTAACTTCACATGGTGATGGAGAATAAGGATAACACCACAGGGTGAGCACGGGAAGCACCTGAGGTGACACTGAACTGCAGATCACACAAAGGCAAGGCAAGGAAGGCAGGGCCTTTGCAAAAGCGCACCCCAAGAGTAACTCAAGACAGCAGAGGAACCCAACCCAGCATGCAGACAGAAACAATTTATTAAATGGCCTCTCAGATGCTCACCAGCCTTGTTATGCCTGAGTTATACTCTGCCCTAGGAAGCAGTCAATAAGCTGCCTGTGCCTTGAGCTTTCAGTTTCTATTTCCTAGCAATGGGGATGTTTCTAGTTCAGCTTTCCTGCCAGTGCTCTTTAGCATCTAGCTATCTGCATTCCACTAGACCGGAGGGTGTAGCCACTCAGCTGTAGGACTTTCCAGCTCCATAGGCAAACATTAAAAATCAACTAGGTAGAGGCTGAGAAGTCAGCTGCTCTCACCAAAGCCTGCGACTTCAGACAGCACCAAACTGCTGAGTACTGGGCTGGTAATGCTTGCCATGCCAGTATTGTTCCTTGACTTCTGACCTAGGAAAGTTAAGGAAGCCTCAAATTTGGTTGCTTTTCAACCGTTCACAAACAGTTAATGGCTCCCACACCACTCTTGTAATGCTCTCCTACTGCATAGTGACCTGCATCGTAGCTTCTTTAAAAAAAAAAAAAAAAAGTCTGCGTGTGTGCAAATATGTATGCCGCTTGCAATGCTTCTACCACATGGTTCCTCAGGAGTAAACCATCATCAGGTTCGGTCACAAGTGCCTTCACTTTGAGCCATCTCACTGGCCACTATTTACTATCAACTTCCTGTAAGTCCGAGGACCAAATCACCTCTTTATGCCAAAGCCAGCACACAGAGGGCATGCAGACACTCCCAGGAAGTTGACTGCGAGGGGTCTAGGGATGCCTACAGTGCCGGGCACTGGATTACATTAAGGGGCAGAAAGGACAGGGTGTTCTGTTCTTGTGGTCCCTACGTGCTATTCTGTGTAAGGAAAAAGCAAGCAAGGCGACAGGAAAGAAAGAAGTGAGGGGGCTTATCGAAGCGTGAACAGTGGCGGGGAGGTGATGGGTCCAGGTGACCTATACCCGAACTCAAGCTGGGGGGGATCTCATTCCTGGAAGCAGCAAGCAGCTAGCGCAGCTGGGAAGGCCCCGTCTTGCCCTGCGCAGGCAGCGTTTCTGGACTGAACCAGACCTGGCAACACACCTGGGGGCAGTCTGGCAGGTGAGGCTGCCCCAAGAGAGCCTTTCAAGTGAATTCACCTGGAGAAAGGCTCGCCTGCGCAGGACCGCAGTGGGAATGCCTGTGGGCCCCAAAGGGTGCTGGCGTTGCGGGGTCACCAAGACCAATGCCTGGGTAACAATCAGTGAGCGGGGGTCACAGAGAAAATGAGGCAGGTGGTCGTGTATCCCCAGCCTCTCCAGCTTAGGGGCGTCTGATTGCGCTCTACGGTCACAGCACCTAGGAGAAGCCCAGGCCGCCCTCGCTCAACTCCTGAACCGGCCGACACGGCCTGGACAAGTGACATCGGGCTTCGGGCCACGGAGGCTTAGTTAAATTAAAGCCCGAAGGCGGCGCGCCTTGGCGAGCAGCCCGCCCCGGGTCCGCGGCTAAGGCCGGGCCTCCCGACACTTCCCTTTTGTCCGGGGCTAGCCCGGCGCCCGCTGTCCCGCTCGACCGCCCGGCGGTCGCGCGCACACTTGGACGCCGAGGCTCGAGGGGACCGACCG